AGCCATTGCACGTGGCCTCAGACAGACACTGTTTTAGACACTCAGGGTACAAAGATGAATAAGATACAATAACTCTGGCCTCTGGGAACTCACGGTCTCTTAAGGGAAACAGACAGACAGACCACTGACTTAAAAAAATGTGCTATGAGAGATATAAATAAGAGATAAGAAAACACAGAGGTGGGAATCCTTTATTTGGCTAAATTGTATGGAGGATATGACAGTTGAGTTGGGTCTTGAAGGATGAGTAAGTGTTTTCTAGGTAGAGAAAAGGGAGAGGAGAGCCTTCCAGTTAGAGAACAGTGTATGTGGAGGCCGTAATACAGGACCAAGCTCCACCTTTTGGGAAATGGACTTGGATGTCTGGAACCCACCTCTGCAGTTGTACGATGCTGCCCAGTTTAAAAAGGATGGTAACAGCTTTATCTCACTCAATTCTCTCTGTATTCCTGGGAAGGGAATGAAGTGGCATTGGGACCTTATTTTACCATTGAGGAAACCTGAGCCTTCAGGAGGTCCCTGTATTGACTGGAGTCACTAGCTTGGGGGTAAAGAAGCTCATACTTGAACCCCAGTCCTCTGACTGCAAGTCCAGGACCCTTTCCAAGTACACCCTACTGCTCCTCTACGTGACATCTTAAAGAGGCAGAAAAGGAGTTTCTGGTGACCACGGACCAGCGTTCAATACAATATGATCGTTGCATCTCTTCCCTTCTTGGGGGAAAAAAGCACCTTCCTCAGGGTTTCAAAGATGAACAGGTTTAAGCATTCTGGGAAATGTGGAGCAGTGGGGCAGTAGCGAACCCTGATAAGCCAAATCACAGCCTGCAGAATTCCCAGATACCACCTCCCAGGCCTTCCTGGAGGCTGGGTGGGGAGCGGTGCCCAGTGTGACGAGTCCAGCAGACCATGGGAGGAAAGCGGTCAATTGAGAGCTGAGACAGTTTCCCTCTGCCAGATCTGGAGGGAGAATCAACAGTGTCATCAGATAACATAATGCCTCTATTAGACTACGTCACCACGTCTCGACTCAGACATCCAGAGCTGCGCAGGGTTGGGAGCCGTGAGGGAAGTTGTGCTTCCTAAGACCTCTCTGACCTGCTTTGTAGTGGAACTAGAACGAGATAGGAATAGCTCTGGAAACTCAGCCCTCACAAGTGCCAGCGGCTGAGCTACTACTCTCTGCTGTCCTGGGGGATCAGGGGCCAATCTCTTGACAGGCTCTGGCTGGCCCCAGCACGTCCAGTAAGCCAGGGGAACCAGGAAATTAGACAGAGACACTGCTGCAGGTAAGAACAGATTCGGCCAGGTGGGGAAACTCCATCGCCAGGCTCCGAGCGCAGCAGGTGCACCCTCCTGGGGTCGGGCCTCTTGAGAAGGACTACTGAAAACTTCTGGGCAAGAGGAATTGTTGATTTTCTTGGCTGATGCGTTTTAAAATTAACCTCTGAATTCTGTCTACTCACCTTTTTCATTTTGTGGAGGTAACAAACATCATAATGGCAGTTACAGACATCAGAAGTGAAGGAATGTCTTAATAGTTTATGATCTGATGACTTCCTCCAAGTCAAACTGGCCTCATGATGTTTTCCTACCTTCTGGGTCTCATGCCCATGTGTATTACTACCTCCTCCTGGATGTACCTTCTCTGACTTCCCGGCCACGCTGCTTCCCAGTCCTCCTTTCACCTGAGTCCCCGCTCTTTCTCAGCCTCATTGGTTGGCTCCTTTTCCCTGGCCCAGTGGTGACCCCTTCTCCTCTTCATCTGGATTCAGTTCCTTTGTCACCTGAGTCCTGTGGTTTGTAGTACCGCCTACAAACAGATAGCTACCCAGTTTATACCTCCTGACCTCGCATTTCCTGAGTCCAAACTCATGGCCCCACTTCCACTGGGATATCTAATTGCCATCTCAAACTTAACATGTCCCAAACATTTTGATTCCCCCCCTCCAGCCTGCTCGTTCTGATACACCTTATCTCCGTAAATGGTGTGACCACACGCTCCCTCGAGGAACTCAAGCCCTAGGGATCTCCCTGGACTGTTCTTTCCTTTGCCCTCCCCAACCTTCCGTCAGTCAGTCCTGCTGGCTCTTCGTTCAAGTAGATCCTGGATCCAGGTCCTCACTGCCGCCACTGCTACCGTTCTTTCCAGTCTATTCCTTCCCACCTGGGCCACAGTCACAGCACCCCCGTTGGTCTCACTTCCTCCTCTCTTACCCTCACAAGTTAAAAGATTTAAGTCAGACAATCTTACTTCTCTGCTCAAAACCCTCAAATCAAATCCTTGGAGTGAAATGCATGGTCTTGGCAGTGCCTGTAGCTCAGCGGGTAGGGCACTGGCCATATATACCCAGGCTGGCAGATTCGAGCCCGGTCCTGGCCAGCTAAACTATAAAGACAACTGCAACAAAAAAAATAGCCAGGCATTGTGTTGGGCACCTGCAGTTCCAGCTACTTGGGAGGCTGAGGCAAGAGAATCGCTTAAGCCCAGGAGTTTGAGGTTGCTGTGAGCTGTGATATGTTGGCACTCTACTCAGGGGGACATAGTGAGACTCTGTCTCAAAAAAAAAAAAGAAAGAAAGAAAGAAAAGAAAAGAAAAAGAAGATAGGCATAGTCTTCACCATGACCCAACCACCAGATCCCACATCATCTTACCTGAGGTCACTCACTCCAGCCATACTGACCAGGTCACTACCCCTCTACTGGCAAGTCTATTCTCGTCTCAAGGGCTAATCCTTCCATCTGGAATGATCTTACCCTAGACATTTAAAAGGTTGGATCTTTGCTTTGTTCAGTGAAAATGTCACCTCCCCTGAGTGATCTTCCCAGACCATCTTGCTCATGACTAGCCCTGGACACGCCCTCTCCTCTTACTGTGCCTTACTGTTCCCCACGGTAATCATCTCTAAATTAACTTATATATTTGATCACTTATTCCTTTAATGTCTGATGTCTCCTAAACTACAAAAGAAGCTCCACAAGGCCAGAGACTTCTCCCATAGTGCATCCCCAGTGCCTGGCACGTAGAATGTGCTTAGTAAATATTTGTTGAATTGATGAATTTGTTCTTTTTTCAAGTCTTTGAGAATTGCTCCTTGTTAGCCCAGCTTCACAGTGTCACCAAAGGATTCTTTTTTAAAGAGAAAAGTAATTTTGTCTGTCAATCTGTACCCCTTTAAGCACAAGTATTGTAGTGTGGGGACCCTTCCCATCCTTAGCTGCCCTCACGGATTTTATTGACTATCTCAGCTAATCTTAAAATCAGGCTTCTGCTCAGAGATCAGTTTGTATCTCCCTGTGGCCTCCTTTGCCAAGATCCCATAGCTCTTCATCAAGATCTTGCCAGGCCACTGGCTCTCAGAGATGCCACATGACCATACAGGAAAGGCCTGTGTCTCCCTATCATTGTTTAGGACAGAGCAGAAGAAGAAGGGTTAAAGATTCAGAAATTCTCTTTGATCTCATTCATTCATTCATTCATCTCTCGGGCCTTCTTGAGCTTCTGATCTGTGTTGGGAACTATGGTCATTTTGTGGCCATTGAGGACACAAAAGTGGATGTCACTGTCTAGTTCTGAAGGAATTCATAGACTAGTGGGGAGAAGCATGCAGATGGCCGGCAAGTGCCATGTACCAGTAGACTGGGCTCCCAGATTCCGAGAGGGGAGAGGAACTAACTTTGTGCAAGGAAGCAGTGCATGGAGACCTAGTGATATGAGCAGCGTACTGTGTATTTTTGTGTTGTTTTTCGTTTGTTTGTTTGCTTTTTTGAGACAGAGTCTAACTATATTGCCCTAGTGCCATGGCGTCACAGCTCACAGAAACCTCAAACTCCTGGGCTTAAGCAATTCTCTTGTCTCAGCCTCCCAAGTAGCTGGGACTACAGGTGCCCACCACAATGCCTGGCTATTTTTTGTTATTGTTGTTGTCATTGTTGTTTAGCAGGCCCGGGCTGGGTTCGAACCGGCCAGCCCCAGTGTATGATGTCATAATCACTGAGCTATGGGCACCAAGCCATCGTGGCGTGTTTGGACATAAGCACATTTTCGGTGTGGCTGGAGCTAGGGGTACCTGGCTCTGTTTAGCATATATTTACTATTTTAGCCCTAATTTTTTTTTTTTTTTTTTTTTTTGAGACAGAGTCTCAAACTGTAGCCCTAGGTAGAGCGCTGTGGCATCATAGCTCACAGCAGCAACCTCCAACTCCTGGGCTCAAGCAATCCTCTTGCCTCAGTTTTTTTATTTTTAATATGGGGTCTTGCTTTTGCTCAGGCTGGTTTTGAATGTGTGAGCTCAAGCAATCCACCTGCCTTGGCCTCCTAGAGTACTAGGATTACAAGCATGAGCCACCACGCCTGGCCACCCTACAATTATCATAAAAGAATAAAGCTGAACAAAATAAAAAGTGAAAGTTGAGGGAGGGGAGAAAATAGGACAAACACCTATCTGATAGATTACGTGTCATCAGCCCTCGAGGGCTGCGCTAGTAGGGGCATCTTGCTGCAGGGAAATTTCTTTAGGCTCCATGGCTGGTCTCTTCTCGGTCTCTTGGTCCAGGTGGGGATGTAGCGGCTACAGGGGTGCAGCGCGGGAACCAGGCAACAGCAGAGCACGCACTCTGGTTGGCATGGCAAGCCCTGCTCCCATTGGACTCTGATTTGCCACGTACTTTATTTTAGTCAGCCTCCCCTCCAAGGTGACTCTTTTTCTGGCTGTCCACCTCCCTGGAGGGGACTTGTGAAAGACATT